CACTCAGAGAAATACTTAATATAGCACGTTCGAAGGCCCTTTGTGTTCTTCTTAATCCATTGGCTGATAACTCTGTAAGTGTAACGGTCTCCATTCCATAGGTTATAACTGGTAGGATACAGCAATTGAATACCCTTTTCTTTAAATTTATTGGTACACTGGTACTATTACATTGGTACTTTTTTTTTGTAACAAACACTTCCTATTGCTGCTTAAGCTATTCGGATTCGTCTAATAAGATCTGCGATTTGATTCTGTTTGCCCAGTTTGCCGTGCTGGTTCTAGCTTGCGTGGGGGAAGACCTCTGAACCGAGTAGTGACTTTTTAGTACTTTACGGAAGACGGACTAGGCGATGAAAGTCCTCAAAGGAAAAGTTCCTGTAAATATGCAGGACAGGTGCGAATCAGGTTCAACCAAATAAGTACCCGCGGATCATCTGAAAGCATGACATAGAGCAGCAGCTATGTCATTACTGCACTGGGGCTGTATGATTTATACATGTCTAGTGTAATTTACTCACAGGCGAAAACTACATCTTAATTCAACCAGCTGTGAGACTGCAATCAGGCAGGCAACGAAAACCATCTGATTGTCTTCCCAGAGATCGTTATGAAATGATGACTAAGCAATAAAATTATGTGCTTTGCAATCCAGCTATCAATCGTCGTCATATCAATTTCGGGTCGAATCGTGTGAAATAGACGACAGGGCAGATGATTGTGGACGACCAGGCAATATCTGCAAAATGGGATACTGGAAGATCAAACTTACTGTTAGGTAAAAAACACCGCATTGCAACATGGAATGTTAGGGGGCTGCCACAGCTAGCTAAATTGTATATATTAGAAAATGAACTGATCAAGGAGAAGATAGATATCTGTGGGATATCTGAGACACACTGGGAAGGCTAAGGACATTGGAAGGCCACTTATTACAAAGTTTTCATGTCAGGAGCTAACAAAATAGAACAAAAAGGCGTAGTAATATTAATTCAAAAACGTTGGGCAAAATATGTATATGAATACCTTCCAGTAAATGATCGAATAATCAAAATAACTCTAAACGCTAAACCAGAAAAAATGAATATTAAACAGATATATATGCCAACATACGAAGTGGCAGAAGATATAGTAGAAGAAACATACCACCTGATATATAAAACCATCTTTAACATTCCTAAAAAGAACCAATGATGATAATAAAAACTAAAATAGATAACCATTTGAAAGTAACGATAGGTGAACATGGCTTAGGCGAGTGAAATAACGAGGTAAACGCCTCCTTCAAACGGCCATCGATATGGATCTTAGTATAGTAAACACAAAGGACGATACAAGAACCAAATAGATTATATTCTTGTGAATAAACGATGGAGAAGCTCAATAGGTATAAAGTTAATTTCTTCTTTATTATTTTCTTGAAAATTATTGAAAAACTTGTACAGATGTTTTGTAAATTTTATTAAATAACTATTACATCATTATTTTTAAGTAACTGGGCTAAAGCTACAAATAAAATTTAAAATGTTAGATTACATTACACTAAGATTTAGATTAAATGCTAAGATCGCCATTTTCTGTTACTCTACCTCTGTTAATAACCCCTTTGGTCCTGGTTAAAAATATACAGATTAAAAGTGAGAGAAACTACACAACTAGGATATATTCTTTTAAAGTACAACTCTAAATTCGCTTCTAAGATATGCTGAAAGTCGCTCAACAAGTATTGTAAAACAAGCAATATTCATCAAGCAACTCTAAACAATAACTCTAATATAATCTAGCTAGTAAGGTTTCTTTTTCAGCGAATTATTTTTTTGCGATTTTAAAGTTTTGCGGTTTATATTTAATCTAATCAACTGTAAGAGCAATTAGAAGAATTAAGTTGCTATAAGAAAATCTATAATTTCTGGTAAAAAAATTAAGCGCCAAATTTTTATCTTACTCAAGGGATGTATTATTAGAGATAACAGAAAGTGCCATCGTAATTTGGATTGAGGGCCTAATTCATAGAAGAATTCCTATAAGTGGTTATTTAATCCAGGAAAAAGCTCTTCAGTTTTTGGGAGTTAATGAAACAGAGCCACCAACGTCCACTTCCCAAGCTTATAACGAATTTTCAGCCAACAAAGGATGGCTAACCGGGTTTATAAGAAAATGCACTTCATAATATCAAGATTACAGGAGAGAGTGCTACAGCAGCTGAAGCAGCAGCAAAAGTTTTTCCACAGGAGCTAGCGAAAATAGCAACTAAAGATTGAGTGACTTTACTTTGTAGCAATTCATCAGGAGATCGGATGTTGAAACCGTTCTTAATAAATAAATCTTTTAGATCACGAGCTTTAAAAGTCAACGATTTAAAACAAGTGCCAGTGGATTGGATGGCTAACAAGGAAGCCTGGGTGAAGGAAAAATCTCTCGCTCTTAAAGTTTTATTAATTATGGACACAGCAGCAGAATATCCAAAGTTTCAAATAATATTTCTTCCGCCAAATACAACAAGTCATTAGATTAAGGCATAATAGTAACGTTTAAAAAATATTATATAGGGGCAACTTACAAATCCATCGTGAGTAAACTAGAAAATGGACCCTTAACAGTAACAGATATGTGGAAGCAATTTGCTATTTTTGATTTTTTGATTTATGTTGCACGTAACAAGCAATGCAACCATTCAAACATTGACACTATCAGATGAAATAATTAACTTTGCACATAAAATTGGCGGAGATGGTTTTAATACCTTCAGCCACGATGATATAAATGGATTATTTGTGGATGATGCAATCAGTGACCATGATATAATTGATCAAACTTTAGATCTAACTTTAGATGGTTTCGTGAGTCTAAAAGATGATAACGATGAGAAACCCCCTCACTGCAAAATTAACTTTAGAAGGTCTTCAACTTTGCAGTAAATTAGAAAAACATTTTCTTATTAATGACCCCAATTCTGAACGAGCCTAAATTACAACGTGAGCTGCAGAACTGCATGTCAGGATATTGTAAGCTACATAAAAAATTACTAGCATCACCATCGCAAAGCTTAATTACTCATTATATTCTCAGAAAAGGAAAAGCTACACAGAACGAGAATGAAGTTTGTGAAAATCATCGCCTTTACCGCAAATATCTATTGCAGAGACAGTTTCTTCTAACGATGAAGATGATTTTGAGCCATTTTGTAAACGGTGCAAACCATTATCAAATGGCGATAATGATTAAAAATGTTAATGTAAAACTATATGTACCTATTACTTTTCCATGTATGTATGTACAGCCTTAACAGGCCTTTTAGGCCCATTGCTGAATGGATAATTTCCATCGTTTTCTATTCTCAGCTAACCGCTTCCAATCTCTGATGCCCATCTCTCTGACATCTTCCATCACTATATCTCTCCATTTCTTACTTGATCTTCCTCTCTTTTTTTGTCCTCAGGTACTCTCCAAGCAATATTCTTGACTAGTCTATCACCTTGCATTCTTTCTAGATGACCGAGCCATTCTAGTCTACGTTTTTTCACCACTTTTATTTTATACATATATTTTATTTTGTAGAGTTAGCATACAAATGATACACTTCTGCATTAGTTCGTCTTCTCCATTCTCCCTCTACTAATTTTCCACCAAATATTCTGCGAAGTATCTTTCTTTCCCATGCTTCCAATGTATTCTGTATGGTTTTTTTTATAGTCCATGTCTCGGCAGCGTATAGCATTGTGGGTCTAATTATAGTTTTGTATACTCTTATTTTTGTATTACGAGATATATCTTTGGCCTTAATTATTTTGCTGATGGCTCCAGCACACCTGTTGCTCTTGGTCAGTCTCAGGTTGATTTCAGTTTCTTCCTTACATGTCTGATCAATAAGAGTACCTAAGTACATATATTCATCCACCTTCTCGAATTCTACAACTGATCCATTCTCCACCTCCAATTTAAAGGATCCCCTGGTGTTTATTCCTTTTTTGCTCGAGATCTCCATGTACTTCGATTTATTAATATTATTAGAGCTTTCCCGAATAAGTCTTTTTGTTATATTTGATAGTTCTTTTCCACTTCTTGCAATGAGAACCACATCATGAGCGTATGCTAAGCATTGGTGCTCCTTGTATAAAATAGTTCCGGACCTATTTATCCCACTAAACCTTACAATTTTTTCTAGAACTATGTTGAAACGGAAATGTAGACAACGGGTCTTCTTGGCGAACACCTTTTTTCACTTCGAATTCTTATGAGACTGTACCGTTGCATCTCACAGCACAAATGGTTTGTCTAATTGTCATTTTTACCAATCTTATTATTTTTTCTGGCACTTGGAATTCTTTTAGTGTTTCTATTAACTTGTTTCTGTCTATTGTATCGTAGGTAGCTTTGTAATCAATGAAAAGTATTTGTGCTGAAATGTTGTATTCATAGCAATTGATCAGGATTTGTTTTAGCATAAAAATTTGATCGGTAGTTGATCTCCATTTCCGAAATGATATTCTCCTAGATTATTCTCTCTCTCTCTCTCTCTCTCTCTATATATATATATTATATATATATATATATATATACATATATATTTAATTGTTTTTTAATTAGTATGGCGAGTACTTTATAAATTACCTCTAATAAGGATATTCCTCTATAGTTTGCGCATTCAGTTCTATCTCCCTTTTGTGTGTGTATAGGAATTATAATCGACTTATTCTATTCTTGAGAGGCATTTCTTCGGCATACCATACTTCTAGTATTAGCTCACAAGTTTGTTTATTAAGGCCTCTCCTACATATTTATGTTCTCTGCACAATGCGCTTTCCCGGGCTTTTTTGATTTTTCATATCTTTTATTATTTCTTCAATTTCTTCTCTTGTGGGCTCTGGTATTTCTTCTATTACTATTTCATATATATATATATATATATATATATATATATATATATATATATATATATGTATATATATATATGTATATATATATATATATAGTATATATATATATACTTATATATATACTATCCACCATAGTCCGATCAGACACCAGCATATTCTAGTTTAAGCCGCAGATTCATTTAGAATTTTGAACTGCTGCGTTAGCCTTTTTGTTTTTCTGTACACCGAGCTGGGGATCGAACTCACTTCCTCTGAACCACTCGCAGTGAAGCGAATGAGAAAACGGCCGCCCAGCCCGCTTGGCTATCTGACCGACATATACAATTAAAACCATCCGTGGCCAAAACTTGGAGCCCAAAATATCATTAAAACTCCCCTTCCTACCCACTTAATTGCTGACAGCTAGCAACGAACTTCCTGATGAATACATTAATATCCTGAAGGAAATTCCACTTTCTTACCTGAGGGATCTGTTTTCTGTGATTTCCCGATCTCATTGCACAATTATACCTGCCTATAGCGAGGATATAGCCACAGCTGTTCTCTTCGCGTTTCAGATCATTTTATCAATTTGTTAATTAAATTCATTCACAATTCATAACTATATATTTTTGGCTTTCGGAAAAGGACTGTTTTAGCTCAAATCCTTTCACCTTGACTACCGAGGACAACGCAGGACACATCCACGGACGGATGTCTCACTGGAACCACCAGTGAGACATAACGGCGACGCAATGCCGACATTCAAAACAAAACAAATCACGTCCTAAAGAGGTGTCACGCCTAAAACAGTAGAGCAAAAATCATCCAAAAGAAATGCAACCAACCGAAAGAACAAGACAACGATACATTTAGAATTTTTATTTTCAAACAGAGTTTGGGGACCTTTATCATGCGCCTGATTTAATCCGAAAAATGAGAATAATAATAAGAAAATGCTATTACACTTTTTACACGGTTACAGCGAACTATTAGGTTACAACCATAATTGTAGGTGTAGGTATTAATTTTGCAAAGATAATTTTTTAAGTCTGTTTTTTTAAATAAAATAAAATAATTTTGTAGTAAAATGTAAATTAAATTAATACATATGTAGCTATGGCTACAGTATCATATCATATGAAAGTTTTAAAACAGATGGATCGTCTGTCTGTGGATAACTCGTCTTTGGTGTAGTTTAGTTTGATTTATCATAAATCGCATGAACTACACACACTACATCAAAATATATCTTTAAAAAAAGGATATGTACCACCTTTATAAAGTAAGATAATGCCTTTAAAATATATTGATTTACAAATAAATTAAACTAAATCTAAACCTTCAGTACTGATGGTAACACTACATTCAATTTTGGTACTTGTCTCGGAAAATCTTTATTCAGATCGGCAAGTACGTATGCTACGGAAGCCCATAACGCTGTGGCTTTATCTAAAGCTGCGGGATCCAAAACGTCCATGGTGTCCGCCTCAGAGTGATGGTACCAAAAGTAATTTTCATTTCGATTCAGCAAACTTCCAGTTGGTAAAATGTTTCTCCAGATTGTAATGTCGGATCCTGCGTAGTCGACTATGTTGGCTTGTGTTGCATTTATTGGAGCCAGCAATCTGCAATTATTAAATGAATAAATGCCAGGTATTAATTACATTTAATTAGTTACTTTGATGCAGCAATCAAAATTGTTTTTTAGATAATTAAAATTGAACCCATACAAAAAGTACAAAAATATTGATCTATTAACAGAGTACAAAAAAAGTAGAGCTGAAGCAAGGAGAATCATAAAAAAGCAAACAAGAATCCTGGCAGAAATACATATCTAGCATTAACAGCAACATAAATATATCATCGGTTTGGAAAAAAGTTAAAAAAATAACAGGACAGCATAATTACTTATAGTAAATCTAGAAAAAGAAGGGACGTTACTGATCCACAGGATATAGTAAATGAACTAGCTGATACCTATCAAAATTTTTCATCCAGCCAAAATTACAGTAACGAGTTCTTAACTTACAAACAACAGGAGAAGTCAGTACCTATTACGATTTCCAAAGAATTTAACCCTATTAATACACTTTTAGTTATGGGGAGTTTCAAGAATCACTTAATAGCATGAAAGATACTTCACCAGGTCCAGATGACATACCAATACAATTTATTAAGAAACTTCCCATAGAAGCAAAAGAGTTTCTACTCCAAATTTTTAATATTATTTGGTCACAAAAATAATTTCCAAAAATCTGGAAAAATGCCATTGTTATTCCTATTCTTCTTCTTCTTTTGGCATCATAACCCTGGATGGGTCTTTGCCTGTCTGGCTATGTCCTTCCATTCAGATCTCTCTTGTGCCCTTCTTCTCCATTGTCTTATGTTCATTGTTTTCAGGTCGTCTTCCACGTCATCCAACCATCTCGTTCTGGGCCTTCCTTTTTTTCGCCTTCCTATGGGCTTCCATTGTAACATTTTCTTTGTTGTTTTTGCATCGTTTTGTCTCTGCACATGTCCCAGCCATGACAGTCTTTGACTTTTCACAAATCTTACAATGTCATAACCTTCATTTAACTCATTAACCTCGTCGTTTCTCCTGATTCTCCATGTGCCATCTTCCTCTTGTACCGGGCCATATACTTTCCTCAGTATTTTTCTCTCGAATGTCCTGAGTTGGGCTTCATCTTTTTTCGTCATTACCCAAGTTTCACATCCATAGGTTACTACGGGTCTAATCAGTGTTCTGTAGATAGTCATTTTGGTTCTTTTGTCTAATAATTTCGATGTCATCAATCTTTTATTAGCATAGTATGTACGATTCCCGCTGGAAATACGTGCATTAATTTCGCTACTTATGGAGTTCTTCTGATTGATTTCTGTGCCGAGATATGTAAAGGCATCCACTCGTTCGATAGTATAGTTGTCTATTGTGATATTATTTTCATTGTCAGTTATTCTTTTGACTGTCATATACTTCGTTTTTGCTTCGTTTATTTTGAGACCTCTTTTTCTTGCTTCAGGATCAATTTGTTTGAACACTTCCATTAGTCGTGGCTTATTCCTACTAATGATGGCTACATCGTCTGCATATGCAGTAATTTGTACTGATTTGGTGTTTATATGGCCGGTTATATTGGTTTTTCTGATGACTGCCTCAAGAACTAGGTTGAATAGCATGGTTGATAGGGCATCTCCCTGTCTTACTCCCATGTTGATGTTAAACAGGGGAGTCAGTTCTCCATCTACTCTGACTGCGGCTTTTGAACCCTGCAACGTCATTTTTATGAGGCTGATGTATTTCTTAGGTATACCTAGATTACAAAGGTCTTCCAGCATTATGTCTCTTTTCACACTATCAAAAGCTTGTTTGAAGTATATATACATATTATATAGGTCTATGTCGTATTCATAAGCTTTTTCTTATATCGTTCTTAGTATGAATATGTTATCTGTAGTGGCTCTATTTGGTCTGAATCCATTTTGATAAACACCAATTATATTTTCGGAGTATTCTAATAATCTATTGTAGATTATACCAGATAGAATTTTGTATATTACATTTAGCAATGTCATTGACCTATAATTCTGGCATTCCCTCTTATCTCCTTTTTTATATATTGGCTGTATGAGGCTAACTATCCATTCCTCTGACATTTGCTCCTTCGTCCATATTAACTTTATTAGGTAATGGATTCTTTCCCAGAGTTCGGATCCTCCATGCTTTAATATCTCTGCCGAAATTCCGTCCGTTCCTGGTGCTTTATTGTTTTTTAGTTTATTTATTATCTGAACTACTTCTTCATAACTCGGATTTTCGATGTGCAGCTCCGCCGTATAATATATTGTCTCGTTCTGATCATTTTTGTTGTCTGCATTTAGATTTTCTTCGAAATATTGTTTCCATCTCATTATAATTTTTTGCTTCTCTGTTAGTAGTTCTCCGTCCTTGTCATTGCATATCGTTAGTTTTGGTCTAAATGACTGTGTGCTTTCTTTTATGCATTTATAGAATTTTCTGCTTTCGCGTCTGTTGTTATGCTTTACGATTTCTTGTACTTGTTTTTTCATAGCCTCTCTTTTCTTTCTTCTGCATATTCTAGTCGCTTGTATTTTTTTTCGTTATAAATCTCACTGCTATTTCTTGTGTTTCTTTGAAGTTGGTTAATCCTAGCTTGCCTTTTTTCCTCTACTGCAGTTCTGCATTCATCATCATACCTTTTGGTATGATGATGAATGCAGATATGCAGATGCATGGATAAGTTAAATAATCGAAATTTTCTGCCTCTTCTACAAAATTGGAAAAGACTACAGAACGCACTTCTTCTTCTTCTTCAGATGCAAATCCACTAATGGATGTTAGCGATCACATTTTCCATTAATTCTCTACTTCTTGCAATATGTATCGGAGATTGTATGTCGTTAATCCCTGTCCATTGCCTTATGTTTCGGAGCCAGGACATTTTCTTGCGTCCCATTCCTCTCTTGCCTTTAATTTTCCTTTTCTTGATGGTTTCGAAAAGTTGGCGTTCTTGGTTTATTCTTTTAAGGACATCTATATTTGTGATTTTTGCTGTCCATGGTATTTTTAGGATACGGCGATAAAGCCACATTTCGAAAGCTTCTAATCTTATTATATCCCTCGTTTTGAGTGTCCAGTCCTCTACGCCATATAGCAGCACTGACCATACGTAGCACTTAGTAAACCTTAGTCTCAGTTGAAGATCAAACTCTGAACAAGTCAGTACTTTCTTGAATTTTACGAAAGCTTGTCGAGCTTGCTCAATGCGACATTTTACTTCCCTGTCCGATGCCCAGTCTTCAAAAAGCCACGATCCCAGGTATTTAAATTTACTCACTCTTTCAATGGACTTAGTATTCAGTGTTATGGTGGAGTTTTCAGGTGCATCTAAGTTTCTGGAGATGATCATAAAAACAGAACGCACATCTCCGTAGTATTACGTAAGAAACATGTCTCCTAAGAAACGTGTCTTAGAAAGAAGATGATTCGCAAGAAGTTTCATGCAAAAGATATCAGTATTATTTATGAAAGACCTTGTTAGATCAGCATACAGGAAAACTAAAAATAGCTATACAATTTAAACAATCTACAAAGTTTATATTATTACAGTAGGAGTAGATTAGAAGCTTACCCTATATTTTAATTCTTATATTGAGCAGTGTATACATAAATATCATTGCATAATAATTAAAACAACGTCAAACCAATTTAAGATAAATTGTATTGACCTATATAGATACATAATTAATTCATCGTTTGTTTGGGTTAAGAGGATGATATCAGCTCAAGTACCCTTATCTTAATAATGTAGTTGGTAAATTCTGCATAGGATAATCACAATCATGTTATAACGTTTAATAAATTTATATCTGTCTGTATAAGTAATCAGTTCAAGATAAAAAGTTCTGTAATAATAAAAAAGTGATATTTTATTTAAAAAATCAATATTCAATGACGGAATTTGTATATGTTATATCTCCACTAATATTCAATGGTGGAGATTGTATAAAAACAAATAAACCTTTATCCAGCAACAAAAACCAAAAAGTTTGATATATATATATATATATAATATATATATATATATATATTATTGTAACCAAAAAACCAAAAAAGTAAAAACCAAAAAGTATCTACGAAATACGAGCTTGAAATATATATATTATTGTGATATTTAAAGTCTTGGTGCGCCAAGCAATTAATTAGCTAATTAATTAATTAATTAATTAAAATTATTTAAATGATATGATTATGACTCTATCACACTTTTTAATTCTCTTATCTCAGGGTTAAATTCGTGCTTCAATATCTATGCTATTACATGTGAAAGGTAAGGTCCAAAGAATACCGGAATAATAAAAAACACATATGATATAACACTATATATTGAAATAAAAAGTAATGAAATAATTCACACTCAAATGTTTTCAATAAACAAAATCTCATATAATGATTCTCAAAATTTTGTTCTACGTACGTGAACAATCAAAATTAATGGTACAAACAATATTAATTGAAATCTCAAAATCCCAAATTATTCTAACTCTCCTAATCAAAATATTTATATCCTTTCTAAATTAAGTGTAAAAATTGTGTTATCAATAAAAGAAAAAACTGCAGAAAACAAAAATATCTCTCTCTGATGATGAGTGGTCCAAATCCTTGTTCCTTGTAGACTATATTATCTACTCTCAGCCGCTTCCTAGGTAATCAGCAATCTTACAACAAATTGTTGCAAGTATATCGTCCTTAATGATCTCCTTCAAATGCAAGAATCATTCAAATTATGCTAGCCTATTCTCTTCTCGATAAACTGAATCTCTCGTTGGCCTGAGTGAAAAATGACTCTTGGAATATAAGTAGAAAAATATGACTTACAATATTTTGCTGCTTCAGCTTCTGTCAGATACACTAACTCCACAAAAACTCACTAATATTCAACACTACTGCTTGCTACCTCTCAGGAACCGCCAGAGAACAATCACTGTTCGTCTTACAGATTTGGAAAACCAACTGATTCCCTTTTCTCTCTCAAAAATCTAGCTAAACTTTCATTCCTACATACCTATCCCACCTTTTTCAATCTCCGCCAATCAAAGCTCGTCACAATTCTCCCATTTTTTCATTTCGATAACAAACAAATTTTTACCTATAATTATAAAATTTCCTAAAACTTATTTACAAATAATATTTTTTCTACGATTCTTAAAACTAACAAAAACCTATCTTTATAAAATCTATTCTATTGTCCTTAATCACTGCATTAATGTATTTGGAAAACCCGGTTCAATTGTCTTTGGATTTCACTTAAAATTATGCGGGTCACTCAAGTATATTATAACAAAGAAAATAATTTATGCATAGCTTACATTTTGTTTAATACAGGTAATCCAAAAATTTAAAGACTTTCCTTCTTCGAAATGTTTGTTGGGTATTATCCTACTTATCTGAATTATTTTAATGTTTTTGAACTTTGAAATATTTTAAACAAACCAATATTTTTCTCGATTTTACATATCATAACAATATATATATATATATATATATATATATATATATATATATATATATATATATATAATAACTTAATAATATAATAACTTTTTTGCCCAATAGCTAAATTAAGCGTTTAACGATTTTATTCCAACCTTTACGTGCTCTCTCTCTCTCTCTCTCTCTCTCTATATATATATATATATATATATATATATATATATATATATATATATATATATATATAGCTAAATTAAGCGTTTAACTATATATATATATATATATATACATATATATATATATATATATATATATATATATATATATATATATATATAATATATATATATATATATATATATATATATATCTAGATATAGAGAGAGCACGTAAAGGTTGGAATAAAATCGTTAAACGCTTAATTTAGCTATTGGGCAAAAAAGTTCACACAGGTCGATTTTATTTTTCAGTTGCCGATTTTTTTAACTCCTATTTTTCACGACGTCATCACTTTTCGTTTGACCTAGAAAAGCTAACAGACGATTTCGGGATATTAAGATACTGAAATACGCTGACGACATATGAATTTACATTGACAATTGTGTTCTTGAAAACAGTTACACTTCCTTAAACCAATTTTTCCTTCGATTTAACTAATGGTATCACGGGAAAAGTTTAAAGATTTCACTAACGAAATCTTGCTTCTCGTCTAGGGGCCCATCAAGACATTCTTAGTAGACAAACAAAACTGGACCACGGATAAGTTGTTATAACATTTAGGGTAAACAACACTAACGAAATAGAAATCATGTATATTCACCCGGGAACGAACCGTTCCCATTCAGATTGTTTTACAAGAGCATAGTTTTCCCGTTTTCTCACGAAACATACCTAGGAGTAACAATTGATAGAAAATTAGTCTGGAAAAAGCACATAGAAAGAATATTAAAAAAAAGCCGAGAAAGGAATAAATATATTAAGAGCTGTAAGTTCTTACAGCTGGGGAACCTATCCAGAAATGTCCATGTTATTATACAGGTCATTTATTAGATCAATTCTGGATTACTGATGCTTTTTATACTCTCAAGCAGCCTTCAGTAACCTAAAAAAGTTAGATAATTTAGTGAATAAATGTCTAAGATTGTCACTTGCAGCCTTTAAAGGTACACCAATTTCAAATCTTCATATAGAATGTTGCAAATGCCTATACAGCTAATAAGAAAATATTTCTTCTAAAATTAAACAATATTAATATAAAAAAATATCAACAAAAGGGAACAACTATCCAAAAGAAATCAGAGAACTCATAGTAGAAAAAAGGAAGTTAAGAAAAAAATGGCAGCAATACAGAGCTCCACGAGACAAAACTAGTCTAAATAATGCTACACAAAAACTAAAAAGGGAGATACAGAATATAAAAAATTCAACAATTAATTATTTTTTAAGTAATTTAACAGCTGACCAGAACACAGATTATTCTTTATGGAAGGCAACAAAAAGATTGAAGAGACCAATTATTCATTCCCCTCCTATCAAGTTGGAAAACGGCAACTGGGCTAGAAGTAACGAACAGAAAGCAGAACGATTTGCAGATCATTTAGAAAGCACGTTCAAACCCAACGACAATGATAGTGAAGAACTGAGATGGGAAGAACCATTCCAAACTGACGAAAGAATAACATTGACATCACTTAGAGAAGTATCAACAGAGATAAAAGAGAATATAAATCCTAAGAAAGCTCCAGGATATGATCTCATAACAGGAGAATTATTAAAAAATCTACCAAGAAAAGCGATAGTTAAGCTGACACACCTAATAAATGCTGCTTTTAGATTGAGATATGTTCCCAGACTCTGGAAAGTAGCCGAAGTAATTATGATCGCCAAACCAGGTAAATCTCCTAATGAAGTGACATCCTATCGACCAATATCCCTCCTTCCGGTGATGTCAAAACTATTTGAAAAACTTCTATTAAAAAGATTAAAACCAATAATAGAAAGAAAAAATCTTATACCAAATCATCAATTTGGTTTCAGAAATCAACATTCCACTATAGATCAAGTTCACAGAATAACAAATATAATAGAAAAAACATTAGAAGAAAATAAAGTCTGCTCTACAATCTTCTTGGATGTAGCACAGGCGTTTGATAAAGTCTGGCATGACGGTTTAAACTATAAACTAAGAACGTTCATGCCTAAACAGTATTCAGAAATCTTGAAATCATACATTGCGAATAGATATTTCAGAGTAAAACAAGAAGAAGTGTACACCGACTTAAGGGAGATCAAAGCTGGCGTGCCACAAGGAAGTGTCTTAGGTCCGGTCCTGTACCTATTGTATACGTGTGACATTCCAGAGCTAGAAGAAAATACTATTGCCACCTTCGCGGATGATACAGCCATACTAGCGATAGGAGACACTAGTGAAGAAGCGACTGATAAATTGCAACTATCAGTAAATAAAATACATAACTGGACCAGAAAATGGCGAATAAAATTAAATGAGAATAAATCTGCACACATTAACTTTACAAATAAAAAAATAGAAAATTTCCCAGTTAGAATAAATGATACCCGAATTCCTTATGCAACATCAGCAAAATACTTGGGCATCACCCTAGACGCGAAGCTGCGCTGGAAAGTCCATGTCAAAAAGAAAAGAGGGGAGCTTGATATTAGATAATAAGAAATTGTATTGGCTGATTGGAAAAAATTCAACATTGTCAATTCATAATAAATTATCTATCTACAAGCAAGTACTGATGCCAGTATGGGTATATGGGTGCCAACTCTGGGGCTGTACCAAAGCTAGTAATTTACTTATTATCCAGAGATTTCAAAATAAAGTACTGAGAAACATTGTTGATGCTCCTTGGTATATCCGTAACAGCAACCTCCACCAGGACCTGGGTATGGAAACTGTGATAGAAATCATCAAGAGAACAGCAGCAAGTCACGAGCAGAGGCTGCATAGTCATGTGAATGTCGAGGCAATCCAGCTTCTTGACAACACTGAACTAAAGAGAAGACTCATAAGGACAAAACCATTTGAGCTAGTGTAAATGTGTAACAGTTTAGTGTAAAAAGCAGAGTATAGTGCTGTGAAGTTATTGCATGCTAGTTGTAGTGCATTAGTTAATAGATAAAATAAGAGTAAGCCATAGGGTAAGCCCTTAGATTTAAGTATTTGCTGTTATTATGTTAGGTCAGAAAATAACTGATAATTGGACATTTGTGACCAGATAGCAGTATACAAATACCGCGCAGGTGTTAATAAATAAAAAAAATAAAAAAATATTGAAATTATTAAAAAAAAAGAAAACAACAAAAAATAAATATACATAAATAAATAAATAAAAAACACTGCTTACGGAACTGGATAATACTGAAAAAACATAAACACTGGATGCATGGATACGAGACTGGAAACTATTAGAAAATTGTATACAAAATTGTATAAAAAAAATATGATTTTTGTAAGTTCACCAATTGTATAATGTAGAATTTTATACCGTAGTTATATTGTTTTTAAATTATTAATAATAGAAATATCAAATATTAATTTTATTTTAATTTTTTGTTTTAAGAATCAAACATGATTAGGCGAATGAAACCATAGGTTTCGCAGTAAACATCCCAACCGCACACACACACACACACACGCGCGCGCGCGCGCGCACACATGCCATAATCGAAAACATTCAGATCTGAATATAAAAAAACCTCATTCCAGCGATTTCACTTATAATGTCAAAATAAAAAATCTCTTTATATACTAATAGTGTAACTTACTTCATTACTTCCTCTAAAATACATCCTCCCTCATCACCAGCGACGTATTCTAGACCCAAAGGTGTAAAAGTTCCTTCATCAGATTCCATTACAAAAATAAAATTGTCCAATTCGTCTTTGTGGGCTTTATCATAGGCTTGGACGCCAATTAGTCCCGGTTCTTCAGCTGTCCAAAGGACAGATCTAAAATAAAAAATGTTTAACCAGAAGAAAGTATTTGGATATAAAATGCTGACTTATCAGTTTAATTACTATTCTGTACTGCTCGTTTTTGTTATGGTTTAATTTATACTCAATAACATAATTTTACAACATTTTTACTGACTGTGAATCTTTGAGAACCTACTTGGTTCATTATTCGGATTGTTCCATTATAATATCTTACCTTACAGTCCTTTTTGGCTTTAAACCAAGAGCTTTAAGTACGCGTAATGAATACCAAGAAATAAAAGCGCCGCCTCCATCATCCATAGCTCCTACACCTACGTCCCAACTGTCAATATGACCAGATACTAGAACTACTTTTTCAGGATCTCTTGATCCCTTAATTTCTGCAACGACGTTTCTGGATGTAACTGGATCCAAGTTTTGGGTTTGGATGTTGAGTTTTAAAACTATTTTGTCACCACGATCCTGAAAATAAAAAAGTTCTTGCTAGTTGACAATTACAGTGTGACATAATGTAAATAATAAAAATAAATCTAATAAAAGTTATATACCATTTGGACAGTTGTCACATGAAAAATGGTAAACTCTTCTAAATCATCAAAACAAAACGATATAAAACAAAAACAGAAATGGTACAAACCAACATTTTAATATTATTTTTTAATGAAAATCTCCAGTTTTTATAAATTTCAAAATTTTTTTACCTGCATTCTTTGAAACATGTGAGCATGTTCTCTTGTTATTGAAGCTGCTGCAATCTTTGTTACTGAGTTGTCATAATCAGTTTGACCAGTATGGAGTGTATTTAAGGAAAATGGTGTTACAGACCTTATTAAGGTCGCTATTGCTCCGTATTTAGCTGCCTTAATTGGTCCTTGACTCCTATAAAATAACCAAAATGTATAATTAATAAAATTTGAACATTTTGTAATATCATTCGTCGATAATTTAACAAAATATCGATGCCATTTAGTATAACATCAGGACTTAGAGAAGGAAGCCCTTATCACCGTTGCTATTCAATTTGGTCTTAGAATATGCAATAAGTAAAATATCGTCTGACTTGACAGAGGGATTTGCGAATCGAGGATCGAAACTATTGTTGGCCTTTGCTGATGATCTAGATGCAGTCTCTCATTCTACAAGAGACGCGAAAAAAGTGAGATTCAATTCGAGTGAGCAATTCGAGAAGAAAACAGGTAGTCTAAGTCTTCGAATAAATGAAGAAAAGGCGAAATACCTGCTAGTAACTAAAATTACAATACCAAGAGTTAGGAAAAACATAACTATTCATGACCACTACTTCGAGTAGTAAAAGAGTTAAATATCTGAGACGCTAATCACAGATGACAATCACATAAAAATAGAGATCTCAGCAAGGATAGCTGCGAGGAATAGAGCATTATACTGTCTATTATCAATACTCAGATCCAAGCTGCTAAAAAGAAAATCTAAATTAAGGTTGTACATGTCAATTCGCTGTTTTGCATGAAAAAGTCAGTTTTTGATGAAAAAATTAATCAATGTAGTTATAAAGTATATTTTAATTGGATAAAAGGGACAGTTATGTAGGAATTTCTGTTACTAATGTTCAAAAGTACTACAAAGTACAAGTTAGTAAAAAGGAATATGTTAACATATTCCTTTTGGCACTGCCTATATCAGTATTTCTCTTAGTGAATACTGAGACAACTTGACTTGTCCTCTTATTCACGGTTAGATTTTAATGTAACGAGCAACCCACTTGTCACGCATAACCTATAACTTAGTATACAGCACGTGTCATAGTTGTGATTATTATTGCAAAATAAAAATGATTGTTTAAATTTAGTAATAACAATATAATACAATACGCTTAAATATCTGAATAATGCCGATGGTAAGTAAAAACATAATTTATTTTCTATAAGTAGTTTTACAATATTTTTACTGTAATATTCTCCAGGTGTTTCTGTATGTATTGTACGTGGAATAAATAAAATAGATGTGATAATGTTTTACAGATGCACCTGAGAATATTCCTATGTATTCTAAGAGACGAGAAAAACTAAATTTTGGTACGGCGTATGTTACAAGAACTGAAAAAAAATTATAAAAAAACTATGCAAGAGCTGAAATTATGTATACATAAGTGCAAGGAAAAAATAAACGATGAAGTTAGCTTGCAACTTTTCAAAAAATTTTGGGAAATGGGAAGCTACAATCATAGGTTAGAATATACAGCTTCTCTCATGGAAGTTAAAGAGAAGAGTTCTATGTGAATTAGGTGTTGTGATCAAAAGAAATAACGATACCGACAGCATACTATAATTTATCATTTTCCTGTTCAGCGTTCGTTATGGCATTCATGGTGACCATAAATTTTTAATACCAGGCCAGAAACATATATGAAGTGCGATACGGATCATAGTTTAATAGAAAAAAAAGACAAAAACTAGTAGTCAAATAGAACGTCCACATGATTGCACTCAACTAATTTGGCAAGTTGAAAAAAAACATCAATTTTTAGTTACAGAAATGCAGCGCTCTGCACATACAAACATACAGCGCTCTTTGTTTCCACGTACAAAAATACATGTAAAAAAAATTCAAGTAGATTATAATTCTAAACAACTGCAAAAAAATCATTTTTTTGTAAAATTTTAAATAGTGTTTTTCTCGTTTTCAAAGTTTATGACTTGTTCCCCTTTTCCCGCGCAACAATGAATTATTCGCACCGTTATGACATATGAAAGTGAAACATGGACTCTACACCATCGGGAAATAAATAAGCTGCTGGTATTTAAAAGGAAGGTTCTCAGAATCATATTTGGCCCTCAAAGAGATGAATTGACAGGCGCCGCCATGCTGAATTGGTAACGCTGTATTGTAGGATTAGGGTACAAAAATGGGAAATAAAAGTGTAAGATCGTAGAAGATGGAGAGTTGTAGTGGATGCGGCGAAGACTCACCCCTGAGTTGAAGTCAGTCAAGAAGAAGAAAAAGAAAAATTTACGAGGCTATGTAGCTCAAACAGTAAGATGTTTGGCTATAAGTATAATTCAAATATAGCTTGGATTTTTTACACCACAAACACGTGTTTTAAAAAATCTAGAGGTCCCCTTGTTAACTCAGTTTAAAAAATATAATCTGCGATACTTCATCAGCTCAAGAGTAAGTTTTTGGTGGAGCAAACGATCGAGGAAGATTTAATGACCTTGTAATGGGTATAGCTAAGTAAGTAAATCTTGAAAAATCAACACATTGACTTTTTTTCTATATAAAAAGTGTACACATCAATTTAATAAATTACGTAAGTGTAAAATATATGAAAATGGGGGTGTATAACTAAGGCGTTGGTGGTAGAGAATGTGGGTGAGACGGTAAACAATAACTTACACAAATGGTTATAATATAATTTAAGATAATGTATTAATTGAAACTAGAGTAAGTTTCAGGTCGTGGGTGAACACAATCGGGATAGGTTATTTACTTATTTTTTCGTCACTGTGCGTCAGTAGCAACCATAGCTTGAATAAAAGACAATTCAAATCAGTGTCAGCGGTATAATTACCGAAAAGGACAATAAAATAAAAATACTGTAAACAACTGTACTCTTGGGTGAGATTGCTGGGAAATATTAATTGTGTTACAAAACATATATGTATAGTTCACAATAATTCGTAATTTAGAACAAAACAGACCTTTATAATTTACTATTTTTAGCTTCGTTCTTCTTATTTTAACCTAAATTTAACTTTAACAGAGAGATTATACATATGATTTTAAGATATAATGAAATAAATGTTTTACTTTTAAAACCAAAAACGCTGTTACTCACCTGTAAGCTACGGATACCCCATATGTAATATACTCGTTGTTATACACCACAATTTTTCCTTTTACTTTTTCAGACACTCGATCCAATTCATCAAAGTCTTTCACAACTATTGCCTCCGCTTCGACTCCATTGGCTATTGTAGACACAGAACCACCGAGGGTCAGTACTGGAATGTTAGTTCTTCTCGGTGACAACATTTCACATGTTTGAGTTCCCCTTAAAAAGTAATATAAATTAATGTTATAAAATCAAGAAAAGAATAGGGCACAGTGCATTTTGAGTTTTTTAATCGTGTGTAAAGTTGCCGGATGTAGATTCTTTTCAATATCAAGGTTTATCCTCGAAAATCCTAACGGTTAAATTCAGTGGGATCTCTGTTTCAAAAATATCTTTCTTTACGAAAACAAAATCCATTCACGAAGAATATTCTAAACGTCATCTTGTACTAAAGTTGAGCTTTATACCTACTTACAACGGAACACCCACCCCCTGTGGTGAAAAGTCTTGGGTCTATACAATAAAGCGAGCGACCGGTCTTCTATTCAGTGTGGTTATGGGGTAATTAGAATAATACCAGTATACCAGAGTAATATTATTTATTGAATAATTAATTCACAACTTTACTTAGCAAAGGTACATACAGGTAACAAATAATTGTCCTGTAAATCATATTATATATAATGTATCACAACATATTATGAGGCTTACACAGTATTGCTGAATTCGTTTTTTATGTCTTATATTGTCATGGCTAACTTTGGCCCAAATTAACCTAGGCCAAATTTTTTTATTTGAAAATCCGGATGAAAATACTAGCTTTTCGAATGTAAAAAAAAGATTTTTTTTAAGGACAATGTTTTTAAAGTTATTCTAAATGTTTATAAACTACATAATTTCAAAAATTTGGCATCAAGATTTTTGACTATAATAAATCATTTTTTTATCTTTTTTTAATACATTTTGATAGTATAAGTCATTTGCTTTCATTTGTCGCCCACAGCATTACCCTATTTTTATTATTTTCTGTCTTATGTTATTGTAAAAAAAAGGTCTGTGGGATAAACAAATACAATAACTTTTAAACTAATTAATATATCGGTCCCAAATTTTGAGGGTTTGTTAAGTACCCCAATACCCAACTTTGGGTGGAACTCTAAAGTTTGAAGTTTAACTTTACTAAAAGTTTTTAACAAATATCAATTGTCACTTATTTTGCAGTTTGCAAAGCAACAAATGGACTTTTCAACTTTCAAAAATCGGTATTTTGAAGCTTTGTCAATATTCTAAAAAATAAAATTTAGAACAGGGAAGAGCCAATTTTGAAATCTCAAATGGGAACTCCATTGTTTATTTCAGATTTGAATTCCTCATAAAAAAGTACCTGTAAGGAATATTTTTTTCGAATTGTTATTAGATGGCGTTAGAATCGAAAAAAAAAAGATTTATCTTGATAACCTAGAAAAATTAATTGATGATGATTAATATCTCGAGAAATACACTTCCAAATAAAAAACCAAAGAACATGTGTTTAATATTTTTCAAAGATCTATCGAATGGCACCAAACACGACTTGCCACCCTCTGGGAATGGGCGTGGTGTAACTATGAAATCATTAATAGGAAGTAGGGTCCATTTTTTATTTCAGATTTCTATTCTACAAAACATTCGTAAAAAGCTTCACGAGTATGTAGTACCACAGAACTAACACACAGTAGTACCGTGAAGATCTTTCGTACCTGTGTTGGGAGCATGCGCTGTCAAATTTTAGACTTTTATAAAATAACGAAGGTCTAGGCTTCACTTCACTGACTCTTTCTCTATAATGAACACTAACAGATCAAAAAAGAAATCCCCATGATTTAGATGAAGTAAAAACAAAATGTCCTCGAAAGGTCCGGATTGGATTCGACGTATATCCGAGCGATATATAAATTGTACGAAAATGCAGTTAGTTGTGTAAAAATTGAAACCAGAACTTCAAATGAATTTAAAGTCATTACAGGCCTAAAGCAAGGATGTTGTTTGTCACCGACACTCTTTAAAATATACGTCCAAGAAGCATTGAGGAATTGGAGAAATAAATGTAGATTTATGGGCATTGAACTAGTTCGCGAAAGTACTATTTGTATGACCGAAATCAAAATCCAACCCTAACATAACTGGTTGCCAGATGTCTCGTCTCAATCATCACACAAGCTCGGCGCCGGCCGTCCGTTTTCTTCGGTTTTCAGTCACTACCGTACGGCGGTAGTCTTTCACTACCGTACGGCGTACAAGTAGTTCGGATTAGGAACCATTTATTTCGATCGTATGTTTAGGTTTAAATGTTTTAAATTATGTTATTTTTTTTAACTTTGAAAAATTAAGGCAAATATCGAGCACAAATTTAATAATCATATCTTGCCCAAGTACTTTCGCTTTCTACAGCATCATCAGGGACATTTCGTCAAATTTGGGCTATCCAGCAAGCGGAGAATGTAATAAACATGAAATTGGACATAAATTGTACGTAACACTACATTAAAATAGAGCGTAGAATAATTTTTAATAATTTTAAACTGTTTGTCCTTGTTTTAATGTAGTATTATGTACAATTTATGTCCAATTTCAGGTTTATTACATTCTGCGCTTGCTGGATAGCCCAAATTTGACGAAATGCCCCTGATGATGCTGTAGAAAGCGAAAGTACTTGGGCAAGATTTGATTATTAAATTTGTGCTCGATATTTGCCTTAATTTTTCAAAGTTAATTTATTCGAGCATTCAACCTTATATCAATTATTATGTTATTAGTTAATTTTTCTTTATAATAATTTATTTTCTTAATCAATCCCTAAAGATGAGTAACAGACGAAATAGAAGTTTTTTTATGGGATCATTCCGAGAAAAACGATAAAAATCAAAAATCTGCAAAATGTAATTACTGTTCATGTGATGTTAGTATTGCAAGTGGTTCACTGGGCAATTTATCAAGACATTTAAGAATGAAACATCCTGCTATCAATCTCAAATATCTCAATGTTGAAAGATACATAGAAAAAGGACCCGAAAAATCAGAAAATACATTTCAATAACCTCAACCTTCAACGTCAAAATCAGTTTCGCTTGTAGGACAAGCAGAGGAAGATGAAGAGAAAGCAGCATAATTCTTAAGAAAAAGCCTGCTCCTACTCCTCTTGTTTCTATCAGGGACTATGTAATTCGACCCATTCCATTCGAAATATATGATCTCATTCATTCATTATTTTCTTCTTTAGAAGTACAGACACAATTTATAAAGCAAATCGTTCACAGTGAACTAGTTCTATGAAAATTAATGAACTAGTTCAATTAGTTCAGTTGAAAGAATCGTTCATTTGAACTATTTCCATGGTGAACTACACATCCCTAATAAACAACCACAATTTCTATTATAACTAATAATAATAATAATAATAATAATAATAAAATGGTACAAACCCACTTAGCAGACCACCGCTACCAAAAATAAACTCTTGTAAGAAACTAGGTGCGCTGTTACAAATAATGAACACTGAAGTCCTACCCAATTATATCGTGGAAGCACATACATTAGAATATTTGCATATGCTGATTTACTGTGCAGCAACAGCAATTGCTAATGTTATGGGCATTAAGATCAGAACACGACGGGGAACTAATATCGGAAGGACTGAAAACAGAATTGCACCCTGGGAAAAAAGACTGCTGACGAAAATTGAATTATTGCGCAGGGATATTGGGCAAATTACGGAATACATCCGAGGAGTAAGAAGTCGAAAACTAATTAAAAGAGCTGAAGAAATTATTCTGAACACTTCAAGACACTCACAACATGATCCAGAAAACAACACAGCTCAACACTGCCTAGACACATTAAAACAAAAACTCTCCGTTTATTCAGGTCGCTTAAGGAGATACAAAGTTAGTAACAACCGTAAATGCGACAATATACTTTTTGAGAATTCAGAGAAGGCTTTCTATAGGAAACTAAATTCCACTGTAGAAAATGTAAATAAATCCTACCCAAGCCAAGAAGAAATTCATGAGTTTTGGGGAAATCAACTTTCGACGCCAGCTACCCATAACAACAATGCTGGATGGATTGAAGGCACGGAGAACAATTGTCAACACTATAGGAATATTCCTTATGAACCTTTTACCACTGAAGAAGTCTTGAACATCATCAAAGAGCTTCATAACTGGAAATCTCCTGGACCAGACGGAGTTCAAAACTTCTGGTTAAAGAAGTTTTGGAGTGTTCATGAGCTTTTAACAGTATTTATTAATAATATTATTTCTAATTTACAGGAAATACCATCATTTCTTACTCAGGGAACCACTTATCTAATACCGAAGGATCAAAATAACACCCAAGATCCAGCCAAGTACCGCCCAATTACTTGTCTTCCAACTTTGTACAAATTGGTCACATCCTGTGTGGCCAGGCGTATCTACCAACACTGTGCTCTGAACAATATCATAGAGCCCCAACAGAAAGGATGCGCTAAGGGCTCCATGGGATGCAAAGAACAACTTATTATCGACTCAGTCATTTCTAACCAGGCATACACCAAAAAACGAAACCTGTTTACTGCCTTCATTGACTACAAGAAGGCTTTTGACTCAGTGCCGCATGAATGGCTTATAGATATATTGAAAATATATAAAGTCGATGATAATCTCGTGACCTTTTTGAAGCATATAATGACAAAGTGGAAGACTAAAATTCACCTTCAAATACCTGGTGAAACCAATATCGAAACTGAAGATATCGCTATTAACCGGGGCCTTTTCCAGGGGGACTCGTTGAGTCCACTTTGGTTCTGCCTAGCGATGAACCCACTATCTCAGCTGCTGAACTCCACTGACTCAGGATTTAGCATCAAAAATAACAACACTGTTGTGGCGAAGCTTAATCATCTGTTGTATATGGATGATTTGAAACTAATGGCTTCCACTCGAAATCACTTAGATCAGATGCTAAAAACTGTAGAAACTTTCTCAAATGATATCAGTATGCATTTTGGACTAGACAAGTGCCGTATACTTAATATAGTCAGAGGAAAGGTTCAGCCCGGAGGTTTCGATATGCAAGATGGCCAAAACATCGAGGCAATGGGTGAAAATGATATTTACAAATATCTCGGAGTAAAACAGGCGCGGAAAATTGACCATAAACAGATGAAAACTGAACTAACTTCGGAGTTCGTGCGAAGA